AGTCAAGTGGAGTCCCAAGACGCGAGATTCTACTGCATAGGCTCTCCTCACATGCACTAATTCAACTCCAAACTGCTGCCTTTGCCCAACCGACTTCTAAACAAAAGTTCATTCCATTTGAACTAGCCCGAATCGTCCTTGAAAATGAACTTTAATTGTCTAAACTTTTGTGACCAATTCGTAGGACGACGTGATACTAAGGATGGCAGCAGTTTGGAGTTGAATTAGTGCATGTGAGGAGAGCCTATGCAGTAGAATCTCGCGTCTTGGGACTCCACTTGACTCAGCGACCACGTTGATCATTGTCAAGGCCGATCTAGACTAACCTAAATCAAATTAAGTGCTAATTAATCTTCTGATATTGGTTCAGGAGCCAGACGAAACCAAGTCACCTACGTCGACCATGTGCTTGTGCGAAGATTAATGAGCACTTAAGTTGATTTAGGCTAGTCTGAATAGGCCTTGAAAATGCTTAACCTGACCTTCAAATTGAAGTATTCATGACATCAGAACTGACACAATTTACGAAAAGAATAATCAGCCTAAGCCAACATAGATAACTTGGTTTCGTGGTAATCGCGTCTGCTCACTGTTTGCAGGGTTGTTCAATATGCATTTCTGAACACACTCTCCTACGTACATCATTCCGTCTCAAATCGCGAACTTCCTTGCGCGAAACATTTACAGTAGGATCGTCTTGTGTTGCTTTGAACCGAATTTCTACAGACCTCCTGCTTCAGGTGCTGCTATCACAAGAAACTCGCCTTTTCACGTTTCACGTCTTTGTCATTCCTACCTGTTCGAGCGTGATGGTGGACAGTTTTTCATTTGTATTAATGTGTTTGTATTCATCCGTGCTGTAGTGGCCCCGTTCAGGTAACGCTTTGCCGGCACACACACACACACAACACCTCACTTGGTGTGTTTTTGCATTCTTGCTGTTGGTGTCCTGGAAAGGGGTAAACATGGCACAATTTCAACCCGACTTCGGTGTTTTTCATAACCGATGGCTCTTCTAAACCGCGATTCTGATGCTCCATCCTATTAAGCTATTTACCCATTTGCTTGCATTTGAATGGCATTGGTGTGTGTCCAATTTCTGCGCACACCGCCTGCTGTGGCGCCTTCAGCACTCAGCGTACAAAGGCACTTGCCAAAATGACATTCGTTTGTTTTTCTAGTATGTGGGAGGAGTTGACTGAGAATAAATCCTTGGGACACTTGACCTGACCCTCCAATGAAATCACGTGCAAACCCGCCACGTGGTGCAACGGAGCGGTTGACCCGATAAACTGCATTTGGACTTAGTCCAGACCTAATTTAGGCAACTAGGTGGCGTTATTGGAAAGTGATTGGTCAAGCCATGTTCGTGTTGACAGCGTCCCTCCACAGACACCAACGCCACAAGTGCAAATACTGCAATGCGTAGAATGCAGAAATTTGGCAGCGATGCGCCGGATCCCCTAACATTGGCTGTCACTAAAACGCCATACTATGGAATCCCACACAACCTAAACTGTCATCAGTGCTTTAGCACAGTTGTTGTCTGCGATTGCTTTCTTCGGAGGAATGCACTCACACCCACACGCACACGCATCCCTTTCCAGGTTAGAGAAACTGTTCATCCACGTGGAGCCCCGGCTGGTCCAAGTAACCATTCTTCAACGTCGGCCCTTGTAGAACGATTGGTCACTTACAATAAAGGCTTGATTCCTGGCACTTCCGATTATTGGGATGTTTTTTAGGGCAATTAACAGGGAGTAGTATTAGGTTAGTCAGTTAACGGAACATTCAGCTCTACCAAATCTCGATATGCTTTATAAATAACATTGTCATTTATTGGAGCTCAATTACAAAGGATGTGGTACAGTATTTGGTGTACAAAGGTTCGAAACATACAAATAACGAAAGACCAATTATCGCATCACTTCGGAAGGAACTAGAGAAGGAAAGCAAAAAAAACATATTACTTTGGGTTGTAAAGAAGACTGAACGAACGTCCATCACTTGAACAGCCCATTGCCTGGCTCCTGAACCAACATCACTGTTCGTCCCCCGACGTAGGAGCGGGGACAGGCAGTTTGACCTGATTGGTCCCCTTGTCACTACTCAGCCATGAGCCAAACCTAACACTCGTCACAGCAATGGCGACGACTCGGCTAAATTCTGCGCATTTTCACAGACAATTACGCTTACCATGGGGTGGTAAAGTATCGCTTGTCTCTTGACTTAATGACCTCTTGCTCACATGCGTGGCCCAGGTAGCCTGGTATGAGGGTAATTGTACAAATTAAAAAAAAAAACCAGTCAACTGAAGCAGCACAAGTTGCGAGGACGATGCTGCTGAAGTGCACTGGGCCGAGTTGACGAAACAGTGCGGTACCTCTAGTGCCCCACCCACCCAGTGTCTTTAACTAAATATCTCCCTAGTCCAATTTCATGTCATTTGGCTGATATGCGTAAAACTAGCGTTTAATAAGCGCCTATCGCTTGAGTCACACATATCTAACCTACACGGGGCGAAAGTCATCATGGAAGGCATGCAATTAACCAAACCTGGTCCAACTCCAAGTACTACCACCGCACAGCTGGCAACATCTGCTCGACAGAGCAGGTATAATGAGCGCTGCTTCCTGTGGCAATGAGGGTCTAACCCTAGCGCACACGCAATCCTGAGATGGCTAGTCTCTTATACTCGAATGCGAGACAGCTGTTGTGCGCTGACACATCCCATGTGGTCATAACTAGCCTCTATCGCCGAACAAGCTTTACTCCAACAGGCGGAAACGTGTCAGATCGCAGAAACTCACTGCCCATACATTCACGGAGTTTAGTCATAACACACCAAGCAATGGTGACCACTCAACGCGTTGGACAAAATCAATCTACCGGTACGTGACTGAAAATTGAAAAAAAAAGAGTTGTGGATACACAGATGAAGAACGGTGACGTAAAACACACACCAAGAATTCTGTGCTTACCGTTCAATTACATAGTTGAGACTTCAGCCGCTTGTATTCTCTGAGTCGAGCAAATGCGTAGCTAGTAAAAAAGAAACCAGAAACGTTCAATTGCAGTACAGAGATTGATGTGATTTGTTTAAAAAAAACAGACATCAAGAATGGGTTGATATTTGCGTAAACTGATTCACTACGTGACACTGTTGAACGCCCTAACCAATGAACGCACTCTTGCATTGTCAAGTCCAATAAAACAAATAAACAGCTCTAGTTTTGGAACGATTTGGACACACGGCGCAGCAGAAAACCTCCTATTGAAGACAAACGTCGAATAGTGTGTGTGCATCTCTTAAACACAGTCTGCAGTCTAACTGATCCCTGAAATTTGTTTATCACATATAGGCGGGTCAAATCGACATAGAATCGGGCAGTAAGTAATGGACACGAAGCCTCCTACATGAACTAAGCCGGCAACCACAGTAATTAGGATGAATGTCACCATATAACAACTGGGGTGGGTAGAGGGGTCATTAATGTGTGTACTTGTGCCAAGTAATTACGGGGACACATGTGATATTTTGATCATGCCACGATGACATGGTGTGCCAAACATCAAAAATATCTGCATCTAGGTTACACTCAATGTGAAATTGCGTGACCGAAATAAGCAGCATGTAGAGAAGGGCCTAGATAGCATCGAGCTGATCATAATTGCCTCCAGATCCTAAAGTCCACTTTAACCCTGTCAAGCATTGACATGATGATCAGCGCGTAACCCCTTTCCAACAAAGTTTAATCTTTTAACCCAACTATACTTGTCTTATCGACATCGGCAATTGCTATGCTTGTTGTCGAATTTTAGTGAATCGCTGTTACTTCGAACCCTTCAAAAACAACTTTGTCCTTGACACAGATCCGCTCAAGTACATGATAATGGGCTGAATTCATGTGACCAAACACACAGATAAATGGTGTCATTTACATCGACATCAAAACACGGCGAATTGAGGTAACAAGCTGGGCTCAGTCAAGGCACAATCTAAAACAGCCATTTGCATCTGTGTGCGCTTTCCCTGATATCTTTTTTGAGCCCCATCTCACCTCGCACCCCCGAACTCCTACAAACCATCTCTGTTGGCGACAGAAAGACAACTAGCTTTAGTGGTCCCAATAAGCGATCGAGACTGCGTGCTCACAGCTCTGTGTTCTAAATTCCATTGGGTCGCAGTAGTCTTCACACGTTAGGTGTCCCGTGTGTGTGTGTGTGGGTTGTGACATTACAAATCACAGCATAGTAGAAATGATGCACTGCTGGTGCTACCTACACTGAAGCATACACTCGTGCTATCGTGGATTAAACTTTAGGCCAATCACAAGACAGATGACATACCCTGTGTAATCAAAGGCGATTTTCGACCTGAAGGCTTGAACCATGCCCCAAATTCCCCAGTAGAGATGGGAAGCCTAAAATAGCACAAAATATACGCATAGTAGGCAAATGGAAGTCTTGAATTTTGCAGGCCGACTGATTTGCTCGGAGGGTCCACCCTAAGTAATAGGTCTTGACCGTCTCACAGAGTACTACTTGCACACCTGAATATGGATGCGGATAATAAAAGGGTATACGCACCAAAGTAAAGTGACGTATTTCTTCCAACCACTTATCCACTTCGGCTGCGTTGATACACACTTTGTTAGCATGGCTTTCAGATGTTTTTGTTGTATGCTTTGTACAGAGTCGTTGGTATGCACTAAGGTACACACGAACCCATTCCCTCTGCATTTCATTTGAAGGTATCTTCGAGTAATCAGGATTTGACATGCCTAGTAGAAGAATATAGAGAGGAAATGGTTAAAGTCGATGTTTTTCTATCAGTTTTAGGCTCGAGTCTTCTGGATTAGGCATGGACTGCACACTTTGAATACCTTGTTTCGTGGAACTGAAGTGATACGATCGATCGATGATGCAATTTGATACATCAATACCTCAATGCGCAAAATGTCAAAACTGAAGAAGGCTGGCTTTGGCAGGCGAATAAGAGATCCCAAATATTTTGGCAGTTTTTTTATATTCGGCTCGAAAACACGAGGCACAACACCAACGACAATTTCCACCTCCACATTCAAAACCATGAAAATTAATCACTGGCCACTAAATGAAATTGCTGGTCTTATAAGCACTTCGGAGTGTATCAAACTTACGATGTCAATGAGTTTTTAAGGAAAGGCATAAGGTCTGTAACTTGAGAAGCAGTTGTAAAACAACGACATACCAGCGTATTCACAGAAGTGGTTGGCGATGTCATAGCAGACGTGATTGTAACCACAGTATTCAAAATCAATAAAATGAACGGAATCTTTAAAAGAAGCAAAAAGAAAAGAAAAATTTAGCTATTTATATTTCAACTAGTTAAATGTCCCATGATAGGCAAGCTCACCTTCGTTAGGCGAGAAAACGATGTTGCCGAAAAGAAGATCATTGTGGCAAAACGCCACAGGGGATTTGGCATTGGAAAGAAGTTTGCGTAGGAATTTCACTTCACCTTCAAGATATTCCTTGCTGAGGTAATTGAGCTGGCAACTGCACAAAAATGACATAAAATAACAGCACGAAGAAAACTAAATTAGAATAAACTGAGATCTGAATAACTCACTCAGCCATCACAGAACCATCACCGGCACAATTCATTGATAATTTAGAGGAAAAACATTCAGGAAGGAGGCCAATGAACTTCGTTAAGTAATGCATGACGCACGGCTTGGTATCTGGGACAAGTTCAGTGCCTGAGAAGTGCTTTTTGGCGAATTCCGAAACGGGCAGACAATGGAGAGCGGCAAGTTTTTCAGCAACCATCCTAAAATGGATCCAATAATGGGGTTAGCACACTGTTACATAGTCCCACAAAATATCACCTGCTCAATAGCCAAAGCATGGTGATTTCAACATACTTGAAATATTGGGGCTTAGTTAGCATTTCACAAGATGGAGTAAATCCAGGTATGTAGCCGTAGCATATTCCGTTGGTAAATTTAGCAAAAACTTGACTTGTAAATCCAAATTGATTAAGAATCCACATATACAAAGCTTCTCTATCTCGATCGATATAAAGTTCCGTCTGGTATCCAAAAATACGAACCAAGACAGTATTATCAGGAGTAAGAGGAGTATCAAGGTAAATTGCAAACAATGTGTTCGAAATCCCTTCATTAAAAACCTACAAAAAGTTTAAGGCAATAATCAGACAGTACCTTAAAGCACAGTTTTTCTTTCGGCCAATTAGGTCGGATTATGGAGAGAAGGCTTTGGGTATTCACGATATCACATTCGCTTTCAAGCCGCAATGCAATTTCTTTTACAGGACTAGGCATTGCAATAAAGCACAGGAATCTGAAAGTGACTCTAATCTGTTAATTCTATCCCCTGAGACAGCGCAGAAATGCGAATTGCGTAGACAAAGAAATCTGACCGATAGAACTTAACACACCGGGTGATAATGCCAAAACACAGTCAAGATAGTAAGGCGACCACCAAGAACAAGCTGTAACCGCGCAAAATAGTGGTTTAATCTAGTGGTTCGAGGGCAAGACCTTCCAGAGGGTGACTCGTGGTAAAAAGGCCGGAGCTGCCACAGAGTTGCCATGGGGATGAAGGTTGCATATATAAAAATGAATGTTTATCTGAATAAAAGTTGGGAGGATGACGATTTATGACCCAGATTTGCAAGCATACAAATAACAAAGTTATAAAATTGCTTAAGTCCGAAATTGGCCAATGTTTTTCGTATTCAGCTAACAAATAAATCATAACTGAGCAAGATTCTTCTAGATAAAATTTACAGTGAAGAATATCCAGTAAAAAATTGCTTCAATTTTTTTAATAAAAAATTATTAAAGGATCGACTTTTTTAAGTTTTGTCTTTTATATCTATATATTCCAATACATTCCCATAAAAAGCCATCATTTGTTACTTACAGGGGCAAAAGGACAAGATCAGTGGCTCCCTTCGCCCATGGGCCGCAATATCATATACCTGCTTCTTATTATTATTGGTGATGGTTACTACACATTTATTAAGGAATTATGAATTTTAGAGATTTGATCCCACTGTAAATATTCTTGTTTTGAATGATAAACAGGCGACTAGAATATGTGCATTCTTTTGATTTGTTTCTAACAAATAATTGTGCCATAAATATTAATAAAACAAGCATTTAGAAAAAAAATGATATGCATTTGGTTTTATAGTTGATGCATGCAAATGAGAGCTTTAACAAATCACATGCAACATTCATAAAATTTGTTTTTCAGAACTATTAATACTAAGGCAAATCATAGTATAGGTGTGCAATAAAATAAATCGATGATTGCTCTGAATTTAAAACCGTTGACCTAATTTTCCGCGGAATATTTTTTTATTTTGGACCTTGCAGTTGGCTGTGAACAAATGATCGAGTCTACAATTCGTTCACCTAAGTTTAATTGTTTTCTGCAGCTGAAAAAGGAGCATAATCAAACTGAGAAGGATACACGACACTAGAAGTTGTAAAAAATATTTAGAAATCAAGCCATGGTGTTTAACTAAATATTAAGGTTGATGTTCAAGTTTGATTAAATTTTTAGGACATTCTGTTGCCAGTTGCTACTTTGTAAGCCCTTTAAGTCGTAAGAATGTAGAATTGATTATGCAAATCGTCAATCTTTTTCTTTTTGCCAGCATTACGGTAACTTTTATTCATTAGCTATTAATGCGTAATTATTGCTTGCAGCAATCGTTGTTATTTGTTTGCATATGAAAGTAGATGTTATCGAGTCTTTATACTCCCACATCATTACTCGTTTCATGATAAATCATACAAAAAAACGTTTCAATATAATTATTGCGCAAATTAAATATTTAGGATAATTTTTTTGTGTTTTTAACACGCCAGATTTCTTATTCTATAGAAAATAAACAATAAAATTGTGTGTCGACTTCAAAGTTAGACAATAAAATATAATATTCAGAAAATAATTATTACATTTCTATGTAAGATGATTTAAAAATCATTTCAAAGCAGTCTGAAGATTACACTAAAATGACAGATCCCTCATCTAAGCCACTTTCGCTAAGCCTAATGCTCTTTTTTAACAAAAAAAAATATTTTTAACTTTTAAGTCTAAAAGTGACTTGAGAGAGAGCATTCGGCCCTTGGGATTAACTGCTAAATATGCTGAAGGAGCAGCTATTTTTTGGCAAAATATTTTGCCCCATGAATTCGCCGGTGTAATGAGGCTCTACAGCCTTATAAATTTGAAATGCGAAAGTTGTTTGCGTGAAATCTAAATCTGAACTTAATCGTATTATACATGATCCTCCTTGGTTTTATGCATCAGTAATTGAATGATCAAACTTCAGACAGTTCGTAATTTACTTGTGTAAGTCACGAGCCATGATTAATAATATAGGGCTACAAGAGAGCGAACTTTACTGTTTTACTTCTGGCCAAGCCCTTCTGTCAGACATTATTCACTGGATACCCTCATAATTCCTCTGCCGCCCCACATAATCCATCGTTATCTCTCTTCTTCGTAGGCTATTAAAACACCCAGAGACAGAGGATTGGCTGAGATTGACGCGATCCAATATGTCGGTGTCCTATTTTGGCGCTTCGTGTGTTGGTTACAATGAGTTTGTGCCGGTGTGGTCGTTTTCTAGCTAACAGCTACCTATTTGCTGCTCGACGGGTGACTCTAACGACTCAACAGGCAGCTGACCCTATAAAAAAGGCATTTATCGAAAAGCTGCGCGAATATCAGGAAAAGTCAAAGTAAGATTAATGTTTTGCTTCAGAATTTTCAATAGAACATCCGAACTCGGTCTAGTTGGAGCTACGGAAGCTCAGGTCAAGTCTCTTAAAGACTCCTTGGAAAAATTGGACCAAGTTTTTAAGGCTAAAGGTGTGGATATGACCAAGTTTCCAGTATTGCAGCATGAAAACCCAGAACTTGTCAATCCGGGTTCCACCATTATTACTGAATATCCTGAACGAGAACTTCTGGAAAATCCAGAGGAAACGGAAAGGATCGACGGAGTTTTGACGAAGGGTCCTATTGTTATATAGTTTTGTCTAAGAGTTGAGTGTAGGCTATTTTCGTGTCATTGTGAAGATTTCATGACTTTTCTGGTCAACACAAATTGCTTGCTCATTTCATCCTAAGGGAGTTATTATTCTCAAATTGTCTTCTGTGAATCTGTTATTCCTGAATAGTACTTGTAGTTTGAACGTTGCTTCTCAATATTCGATAAAAACCTTTATTGGTTTTTCTTCCCATTCACATTTGCTAGCTCTGTCATGAACGTGCGCTTAGTTACGGTACCCTCATTCCTTCTCTGGTTTTAGACACATATGAATCTATCGTGATTAAGTGTTTTAAGTAATTTTGAACTAAGTTTACGTACTAAAATTGCATCTAACCTATCTTTTTTTTCTAATCACGTAATGTTGGTGCTAACGTCCAAGCAGTTTTTGCTTTCCAGCTGCAACAGACAGTTTGTAATCATTTTCAACCACTCCGTATGCTCTAATCTGTATGAACACGCATTTAGTTAACCTTACGATTAGTTGAGGTTTCATGTTTTTTTTTTTTTTTAAAAAAAAAATATCCAAATTGCAACAAGTGACATGATAGTTTTGGTGATGAGATTATCCCTCATAGATAAGTCCCAGCCCGGGTTATGCTTTCTCAAAAAAGGTCACATTTAGCTTACCAGATATGCGACAGGTTTCTTATCATAACTGAGGAATATTTCCTAACTCGTGTATTCATTGTCGTGGGAATATCAAGTGGTTAACTTGGAAATATAATTTGGTCATCGCAGCACGCACTGGCGAAACCTGGGTTGTATTTAGCAAATTTGGGCCGTCTGACAAGGAGAATTCTATGCTCTCAAAAATGTTCTAATGCTGCGCGCTAAGTTTTCACTTTCCTGTCTCCTTTTTTTTGAGTGTCTGTGGAAGCAGATAGCAGTATGTACCACATTGCTCTGTTAGTTGTCTAGCTTACATTTGGCAGTAGTGGATTTAATCAATGCCCCATTAAAATAACGTATCGACCACCACCAAGGTCCCCCACCGAAACTGTACGCTTGAGATTGAAAAAGCGAGCGGGATGCGCATTCGCAAGCTTATATAAGTGAAGTCCAGCAAATTTCGATCTATATTATACGTGGCTAGATTACACCACTCGCTTGAGAATTTTGCCTCCCACCAACTAGCAGCCGGCATCCCATTGGTTAGCACATTTACCTCGAACTTCGCGACTATTGAAATGCTAGAAGTAGTCTGCATTTACCAGCGTCATGTCTATTCGCACTCTAGTTAAATTGAAAACTTGCACTAGTCGCGCTCTCCACTCAAGGTCACTGGTGTCAAAGCACTTAAACATTATACCTAATGTGAATAATGTCTTCAGTTGCAAATAGGTGCACATTAGCCTTGCACGCGTTGCTAATGACAACAATGAGCGGCATTTTGGGCGGGGGTTTTGAATAGATGGGCGACAAATCGGTGGTGACCGCTTGTGAATTAACCCATGGCGGGTCTGAGTTGGTGAGTTTTTTCACGCAGGAGAGTATGAAGAGAAGCATTTGGAATTGAGGAATGTTTTTGAGCCACAACAGATGTAGTATTGGAGTCTGAGATGGAGAAATGTTGATTAAATAATGGTGCACTCGCGATTCGTTGCCTCACCGAAGGAGCGATGCATGGAGGTAATTAGAAAGCGAGAAGATCGTGTCAAAATTAGTCAATTCTTTGCATCCGGTCTGTCTAAATAGCCCTTGTTGAGTAGTAGACTATACGGTAAGATACCGCTAAACGGAGTGATTCGAGCGTCGTGCACGCGGACTTGTTTTTTTACAAACATAATATCTTGTAAGGAAGATTACTTCATGCCCAAACCAAAAGAACAATTTTGTCGTATACTGCCCATTGCTTCTGTATGGTCGGGGTTAGGCAAATGTGGAGTAAGTGGGTGCCTTTTGATGGTGATCCTTAGTGAAAGAGTGTGTGAATCTCAAGCAAAGTGACGAAGGCGCTGGAATATGTCCTTAGTATTAGATTTTAAGTGCGCAAATAGCCATAACATGCTCATGTCAGTTGAGTTCTTATCCAGTTCTGGTGATTCACGAGTGAGATTTAATCCGAACTTAACACAACAAATAGCTTAATTTAAGCAACGTGGCTTTGACAACTAGCTAGAGCTTTCACAGTGCTGATTTGTGGTAACGCTTGGCCGGGTACTAGTAGGTCCCGCAAATCGCGTGGTGTTCAGAGTACTTCAAACGTGCGGAAGAGGACAACTGATCCGCCTTCTTAAATAATTAAACACCAATTCATTTCCGTACTGAGGCACAGGTAACTTGATTTATGTGATGGCAAACTCTGTACACTCAGAATATAAACTATTTTATGCGTGTGTGTGTGTGTGTGTGTTAGTATACATTAATATCAGACCAATTTAACGGCAGGAAATGCACCAGTTAATGCAGATTGCGACTTTTGACCTGATGTCTGCACATTAAAGGGGTGTAGAAAAGGGGAAGAAAGTGGTTACAGACATCAAGCATGATAGCAAGGTCGCAATGAGGCGATGCTGCCGAAAGGCTCGACTGAAAGACGAATTACAGGGCATGCGGAGTGCTTGGAGAGGCGCTGGTACCTAGGGGAGGAAAAACTGCAAATCGATTACGGACAGGACTCATTAATGGAAGTCGTCAAGTGGCCCCACCCTCAACTGCATTGTTGCACCCGACTTAGCTTAACTCTGCAACCGTCTTCAACCTTGAAGGTGACGCTTCAATTGCCTGTTAGCGTGGAATTGAAACCTTTTTCACTTTAAAATCTTCACACCAATCTGTGCAATTGCGGCCGGACCTTAAAATTGCGCGTTTTACTAGCGCTGTGAGTGACAAGGTCAGTCTAACATAATCACACGCATTTGCAATCTAAGTTAGCAATTTCAAGTGTTGAGGTTGTCCTAAGAATTTACCAGGGCAGCGGTAAATCTTAATCGTGGCTGGAATTGTTAACCCCAAATAACGGTGCATTTGGAAACACTGATTGTCTGGGATGTAGCAGGTATTCGCAGGTTGCTTTGTTTGCTTAAGGAACCTGCTCGACAGTGTATAAGTATAGTAGCCTTCCCATAATATGTAGAAGAGCGCAATCCATTATTGCGTGGCTGGATTTCGAGGATAAATGGATCCAAAGCTTGAATCGAAGAAACTAAGGACCAAACTGATCTATTGCATCCAACTACGCCAGCTGATTGATTTTGGATTAACATATAACTTTCCAATATGAAGTTAGGTATAGTGGAACTCAACCCTGCGGGGAAGTTACTGAGCATAGCGTTTAAACAGTAACGAATCTTGCACTCATTCAGGGGAGTAAATTGTGGTGTTGACCTTCGAATGCATAAGCGAATGGGCGTTGGAGTGGTGCACCCGAGGTAGCGCCAGTCTTCATCCACGAAATGGACTAGAAGCAGAGACCTAGGCAGGAGTCTAGCCGCAAGGTGAATTGTTGACCCAAGCCAACGTACCTCAGGACAAAGTGGAGTAGTTCTGCCCGTTGAGAAGCCTAAAGTGGCCACCACCTTGGGCCTGCTGTATCTCCAGGGAGGTACTGCAGGGGGTGTTGGGTATGCTGTCGGAGCTGAAGCTCCACGTCCGCAGACGCATTGGTTGACCGTTCATTAGGGCAGTGGAGGACGAGGTGGGGGCTTGGTAACCATTCTGGATGGCGGCGATCGAATGGAGTCGTTGCCTGAGGCAACTGTTCTCTAGTTGGAGCCGCTTTAAGGTAGACGAGAGTTCTCCGACGACCTGACGGAGTTCGGCGTTGTCCACCTGCTCAAAATGAATCTGCACTTATCACAAAATCGAAAGGCAGAGCATCAACAAAATTGACCCGAAGGACATTGTTGTGTTGGGTACGGGGGGAAATCAGTGTTGGATCTGGACTTATTTGAATAAATTACAAGCAGGTGCAGGTACCAACTGTTCATAAAGCCAATCGTTATATTCTGTATCTTCACGAATGTAACTACTAGAGGTTTAGATACTCCGGTTGAAATTTGGTACAAGCGGAGTTTAACAGTGAACACTAAGCGTGCCGCATTGACATTCAATAACGCGCGAATCAACCAAGCAAGCAGCTTGTCGTAGGCAAAGACAGCAGGAAAGGTGACTCATTTCACGAAGGCAGAGTAATTTGCAAGAAAGCTCAATTGGACAGTTGGTTTCGGCACAAATGAATCAAGCAGAGCACTTACCAAACAAGCCTCCATTGTGTCAGTTCGGACTTTCAGTAATTCGTGCAAACTTTCAGCGGAGCTTGGAAACGCCCTATAATAGACAGGAAAGCTAATTTTGAGGCAGAAGTGCACAAGAATGCCATCACTGTCACAGTAAGAAGGTTTGTGATAAAGTCGAAGTTGTCGTCCGTATATCAAGTGGACATTAGTTGCCATAATTTTGGTTTACCTAAGCCCTAAGCAACCCCTGAAGACTAAAATGATTCCTGCAAAAGTTATAAACAAGGTAAGTTTAAATTTCAGTTCATTTTGCCCTATTTGTCTACTTGTGTGTAGGCAGAACACCACTGATTTCTCACCACTTTTACTGACACAATCGGAATAAAAACTAATGAGCGAAAACACGTCATTACACCCAGCACTAAATTGTGTCACACTTGGCTTGAATTTTATTTTTGCGAGAAAGTTTCCCTTTGTTAAAATGACTGATAAAAGGATAGAAAATCCGAAAAAACCCTAATTCAGTAGAGCTACGATAAAATGGCGCCAAGTAACCCTAATTTGCCTGTAGGTGGTCAATAAAGCCTCCACGCCAAAAGGACATCGCCTGCTCTATTCAATATGAATAAATTCATTCAATCTACGAATGCTTGGTTTTTTGTCAGTCAACGAAGCGCTTTAGAAAAAAAAGATCGTAGTAGAGATGCCAAAAGGCATCACACCGTGTGCTAAAAGGCGCTTTCAAACGACGTGCTTTCAGAGCACTTCTTCGCAGTTATGTGATGGCGCTTGAAGCAGCCACGTGATAGCCATTTGCGGGACCTGACCATCCAAGTCAATCACACCCCGAAAACCCAGGATTTAGGCTTCAAGAGATCGCCAAGACTGCAAAACGGGATTTAAGTAGTCAGTGCAAGAAGAAGAAGACGGGGCCTGGTCTTATGAAGCGACTAACCTCGAAGCTGTGATCTCGTCGGATGAGTTGGTTCTCTGCCGATGGGTCTTTGTGTTCACTGGGCACTGCGACTCAAGGGTACCCTAAAAAACAACAAAATAAGAAATCCTTCTTGCGCAAACGCACAAAAGAGTCGAATTGTGTACACCTGCACAACTAAAACGTGCATCAGAGGTGCTGTAGACTGTACAGGTGTAGAGTTTGTTGGTCGGATTTTCTCATTGTTGGCACTTTTTTCGACAAAAACCTACACCGTCAATGTTTGCTGTATGGTAATATAAGGCTCTTAAAAAGCGCTGTAAAATTGGCCGAATTTTCTGTAGACAAGCAACGATCATATCCCCCTTTTGCGTATTTGACTTTGGCAACTAGTGGAATGGTTAAAATGGCAGAAGCAGTTGCACGCAAGTCAATGTTGACGGTTCTATCAAGCATGTGTCAAAAGGAAAAGGCAATAATGTAAGATCGAAAGACCTACAGAAAGAGTGTAGTCGGAGGCCACTTGGGGAATTGCAGTCTCGCTCGGCGGATTTGTAGAAAGCTGTAAAAACAAAAAAAGGCCTTTTTCAGATTACTGCATCATGCGATAACTCCAACTACTTTAGTACTAATTGGTGGTGTAAAATACACCACGAAGAACCTGCATTGGTGTTCTCTGTTATGACCTACAACCGTTGCAGCAACTTCAAAAAAAACCCAGCTCAATAAGTCAAGCTGACTGTCGCCGAGTTGCGTTAATTAACTACTGATTTATTTCCTCATTAAACAGTGCCAATTAATGCACCCACTAATGCATGCAATTTGGATACCAAATCAGACAATGGGTCGCTAACACCTTACTTCCTTTGGGGTTGTTCCCATTCCCAAACAAGGCCCCTTTCACCAACAATTCAGCAATCAAATGTACTTTTAGGAAACCTTCTATTGATTTTCCCAAGTTTTCGAGTTTACGGTTGCACAAAACACCACTAGCCTGAATCTACACATGTGCACACACAAGTCGGTGCGTCGGGTGTGGCGAGGCGAGAAAGGTGAACAGAGGGAGCGCAGGTCAAACAACGAAAGAGCTTCAAGGTCACCTGGCGACCTTGGCATCTACTTAATCGCCTCTGAGCAGTTGTCGGCCCATACTCGAAGGAATCATCTTATACCGTTTGGCTCGAAATTCGCTGAGAAAATCAAAACCCATGGGTCTGGTAAACTAGTTGATTACAAGAAACAAAATAAATGATGCGTTAGTTACACATACATTGTTTTGATTTTTCAATCGTTAACAGTAGTGTCATTTCGTGAATCTTTTCCAGTATGAATCTACATTTTTAATTAATTGGATTGTGTTCCCTTGACTTTATTTTGGAATAAAAAGCAGGTAAGTGGATTTGCCCTTACCTGTTGTTTTAATACTCGAAATATGCCGGCGGAAAATCCAAACTATAATAATAAATACCTCACCGGGAGAAAGTGCTTTACAATTTTGCTATGCATTTTTCTTACACACGACCAATTGTTAGTCTATTTTTCGCAGTCAGCGGCTGCTTCCTGTATTCTAGATACACCAGAGCGTGCGTATTCGAACATAGAATAGAGATCAACGCACAAATTGAACTTCACAGTGACTTGCTAAATCGCCTGACAGTTTACTCCACAATCGGGTCCTGGGTATAAAACGCTTTAAATTGTGGCCCTGGTGCATGATGGATTTTTCGAGAAGATTCAGGAAGGACAGTGGTGAAGAAGCCGAATGAGGGTGACGTAGGTGACGTCGCATGACACGACCGACACAGCGCACATACCAGCTCCTGCAGTTGGAGGAGTTCGGACTTAACGCCGGCCAGATCGAAGCGGAGTTTGGCCATCTGAGCCAGCGGCGGTCCGCTGCTGCTGGTCGGCGCTCCGGCTATGCCTGGTGAATCGGAGAAGCCGTGATTGACGTAGCCATCGGAGGTGCCTCTGTTTAAACGGCCTCGCGTAGCCGAGACGGACTTCGAGACGATAGATTTTTGACTGAAAAATGACATGCTCCGTGTGGAGGATTTATGTTCAAACCAATAATAAAGTTAAGCTGTCTTGTTTCTTGTGAGCTAGGAAATTTCCTTGTACAAACACGCGATTACTTCAAGATCAAGTTTTGCTAAGTGCTATCTATCTATTTGGCCCAGCGTCCGCTTGACTTTGTCAATTTGTGTTTACGCGCAAGTCCAGTTATAAAGTCTAGAATGCATGGGGCTATTTTTATGCCCCAAAAGTCATCCAAACAAAACAACAGCGGACAGTAGTTGGCTTAATTACCGTTTAATACCAACAGAGTTGGGTTTGCTTAAATCTGCAGTAAACAGGGACTCCTATTCTTGACGCCATTCGGCTAGCTTAGTGAAGTATTCACAAAACCCACAGACAACCAAAAGTCTGCAAGAAAGCCAACATCAAATTGTCCTGCTTGGAGATAGTTGCGATTGCCCAAAAATCGGTAAAACTTAGAAGTCGATTATTGCCCGCCAAAGTTCTATTTTGTACAAAAAGCAAGTTTGATTGTAGGAATGACAAACTTCATTGGTTGTCAAGATCACTGATGACCTGTAAGTGTGTGATGCGAAGCAGAGACAGCGCTGCCGTCTAATGATAATAAATGGCAATTTCAAGTATGGTTCCGTATGTGTTGAGGCACTTCGTTTGTCATTATTGTTATCAAATCAGTAACCCATTCAAAGACATGACAAGTTAATTAAATTATGAAAGGTCTTTCCATGTGAAAAGCCTAGTGTTGATAGGATTTCGTCAGAATTTGTTTTTCTAAACAGAAGCGCGGGCTATGAACTCCTGTGCTGCAAGGCCCTTGTTAAACGCTTCGCTTTTACAACCTACACAAACAGGAGCAATCTGGACACATGTTTCTGGCGGTAAATGAACACACCCTTTGCTGGCACTCATGGTGACGAATTACCCAGCTCTTCAATTAACCAGGCAACACAGCAAAGCCGACGGTATTTTTCACCATTAGAGGTGTTTCCGTCGAAACGCTCATCTACGTGCATACGCCTTTCCGCACCACTGCAGCTACCTCGCCGCTCAAAAACAGGAGTCCAGAATGAGTGAGCACATTGGTTGCAGTCGCATTGCTCGGCACGTGTTCAGCCCGAGGCCTTAGCACTGCTTCTGGGTGCATAGCTCACGGGTTAAACCCAGGAACGAAACGTGCCAGAACGCATTGTCTAGCAAACAGTGCCAAAGTCGTGGCAGTCGGCACAATGGTTGAGAAGTGGCATCTCTGCTGTGCAGCCTAACAGTCAACATTTGGCTCAACAAAATAACCTGAGTCATCCAAATCCAAACGATTTTACCGCAGAATGTTGAAACACGATTCACTGTGCTAGAAATTAACATCAGATGATGGCTATTTGAATACCATGGCGCAAGTTACTAATACAAAATAAACAGCCGTAAATCCATTTTAAGTTAAAAAAACGAAAACGCATTAAACTAAAGACCGAAATTACTAAAAAATGACCCCAAAATTACACTCACTTCATTGGAACAATTTAAACACTACAAAAGAACTTTCCAATGACGGCCAAAGATGCTTTAGCAGGAATTGAATCACGAAAGGTGCATCAGCAACGGTGATTTTTTTACTGTTATTGTTCACTAATGATTTGAGTAGTACGCGCAAGCGGGTACCTAGTCAGTGACAACGAAATAATGCACGATAATTTCACATCATTGCTAAACCTCCTTCTCCAATCACTTTTAGCCTAGTCACCAAACGGACAAGTTTTTATCGATCCCAGCTACTTCGATTTCCGCTAAACCGTTTCGTGATAAATGGGAGACAAACACACAAACCATGCACATGCTATTGAAACAGGTGCCAGGATGACATTTGACTATACCAGCCACGGATGCAGGTGTGAATGTGGGTGGTGAAGGCTGAATGTTTATTGGTCGAATGCGGTCGGACTTCAATTACTTGTGGCCTAGCAATTAACCAATCACAGCTAGACCTTCAGTTTCCAATCGAGGTAGCCACTTTTAAAAGCGATAATAGCCAGGTCTATAAATTTGCTTTATTAAGTATGGCTTATACGATAAAGTTAATAATATTGATACAGTAGAACTTCTTTTTCTTTACTTTGAAATGTATTTAACCCAACGAACTGACACAGAATGCTACTAACTACAATGTGTGATTTAGCAACGACATACTTACGCAGACGGCGGTTTTCCCGGGGTGAGGAGGCGTGAAATTCTTGTCCAGATGGACACTTTCTCGCCGTCCAATCGCGACCATTTGAACGGTGACTGTTTATTCCAGTAACTCCTGACTCGGTCAAGCGGGGCTGACTTGGCAGCCACCACTGCTTGGCTTTCATGGTTGGTGTGATGGCAGTACAACACGCCCGAGGAATACTCAAATACCTCCTCTGTAGGCAAACTCTCGTGCGCGTTTTTGGGGAAATGCGTGGTGAAACAGGAATTAAGCCAGATGGACATTGCACGAACCAGAACGCATGTGATCACAGAGCAGTAAAACAAACGTGCAGACTCGCTGCAATTCACACACACGCGAAAGCCCTTCGCCTCGACCAATCACATCACTGAAAATATTGACCAATGAAACACGAAGTCTACGAAAGAGGCAATTTTTAGTAACAGGCATTGTGACCGAGCGGTCGTGTTAATGGTTGTGCCAGTGCTTAGTCATGTGTGGGAAGGTTGACCAAGCTCGGATGTCCTGCCTATTTCGTAGTGTTGGAAAATCGCGTATGACGCTTAACTGGCTGATTTGTTTGAACTCAGAGAAAACTGGAGCGGGTTTCAAAAGGGTGTGTTAGAAAACACGATCTCAATGCGGAGACTGTAGTGGGGAGTGGAGTAACTAATTATTATCCTAATAATATGTTTTAGAACGGGTTCCTTGACAGACTGCATAGTACATTCAAATTAATCACTGGCATGAGGCCAAAAATATTCCATTCGTGAATGCAGGCTTTATTTCCGTTAACGCATTCATACAAGATGAGTCAGAAATGTTGCTTTAATTTGGCTCTGACGAATACAATCTGGCTGAATGATTCACGGCTGTGTGAGTTTTGTGGCTTCCTGATTGGCCACTAAATAAGTCAAAACGAGCGAATCATTTCCAGTCTGTCGTCCTGCGCATGAAATGAAATGCGATAGTCCCCAAGTCAGAAGAACAAGGCCGATCTGCCTGTAGATACCTGTACCTGCGTTTGTTTAAAGCAAAATTCGACTAAAACACAAAATCTCACCGATTGAAAAGTATTTCTGAGAAACGCCTTTGCGCTTTGTCGCCTTGTTCTACATAAACCCATCGATATCTCCTAAAACTAGCACCAGACAGTATCCCATAACAACGCAAGGAATTTCAAGCACTCCAGATTGGCTAAAATCGCAACAAGATCTGAAATGAGGCCAAGTGGTGATTGAAAATCGCCAATGCGTGCGCCATTAAGACACGATATTTCAGTTGCAGTAATCGCCACTTGACTTACTCCTTGTTTGATCGGGACGAGGCGCGTCCGTTTCGCAGGTGTGGAATCACCAACTTGGAGACGAAGGTGCGGCCGTGCAGAGCTGAGAGCGACTTGGAGGCGCGGATGGGCGATGGCTGTTCCTCGGTCAGCACCAGGTTCTCGCACGATCGCTGCTGCTGCGCTGCCGTCTTCTTGTGGCCATCTACACCCGGCGCATGACGATTGTAAATGTGACTCGAAAGTCGTCGAGCCAGGGAGAAGGAAGTGGTCGCATTTTTGAGTTGCTGTTGATGTTGTTGATGATGAAGATGATGCGTCTGATAGTGTTGAAGGTGATTGGCTGCAGGCGCTGCGGAGACGTGTAGGAGGGGCGGCCGCACAGTAGGAACTAGTCGATGGATTGTTATAGGCTGGATGCGATATGTTGTGGGGAATAGGCGTCTTTCTGGGGCAGCTACCTCGGGACCAATATTGGTGATGTGATGCTATAATATACACGCTACTTAATAAATGCGAGTACAGTGTAAAATAACTGCTCGTAACGCCAGTTGGACCATGAGAACTGGCGGCATGAAGATGACGACTGTTATGCTAGACATGACGCTTGACAGGGCACTAATAAAGGTTTGAAGCTAATTGTGAGCCTACACCAACTCAGATCCTCAAACACTTCTTCCCCTCAAACTAACCCAGGTAACCAAGCATTTCAAATTTGAAAGGTTGGCCATTCCATGATAGTGCACGTGATAGAACCTGTTCTGGCATATTTGCATGAATTTGGCCTGACATCTCTGACTTTCACAGCATTGTTCTGGCATTTACTTAAGTAACTTAGCGGTTTGGGTTCTGGTGAAGCGTTTCCTTACCAGAAACAATGAATACTTCATAGTTATTTGCAATTTAGGTTCAAATGCCACACTGGGACCTCTACAAGGGCTTACTGTGGCAATCAGCTGCGCAAATGCCAACACAACCTGCACAGTGAGTCGTGGAAAGTAAGAGATAAATCGTGGTAACGAAAAACACAGCAGAGGACCCAAGTCTTCAACACTACTCCGAACATCGAAATTTTATGACAGATCGATGTCTAGTGAAGTAACACCAAGGGCCAATGAAAGTTAGAAGAGGGAAATATTATTGATTGTTTCTGCAAGGTGGGCAAAGTGAGTAGTGCTGGGAAAGTGGTGGTCAATTCTAGGACCACATAAACGCACTTTTCATCTAAAATGGCCAATTAATCAGAAAAAATTGCGGTGGCGGATGGCACAACTCGGAACTCAGTAAAAACATTAGCAAATTCATAAAATGTAGGCGAAAAGATGACTGCTGGCTGTCGAAATCGACCTCCTGAGTAATATGTATGACCTAATTGCAAGCTACATAAATAAAGTTGCATTGTCTGTGAGTGCGTGTTAGACATTTGGCTACTACCACGGATTTGACACTGCTGAATAGGCATCCACCAGGGGATTTGAATAAATTTTGTGCAATTTTTTGCTTCCCAAAGTCCGACCAATGAAATGAATGTGAGATAAATCAATCAAATCAAGGTGGATTTAAACAACTGCTTTATAAATGCACTTTTGTCAAAAGCATCACTGCAATGGATTGTTCATTCCTTGTTCCACTTCCGCCGAGGTTACACTAATGAATTTCGTGATGGTTCAGTCGTGTGTTATCAAGTTATCTACTAGGAAACAGGAGCAATAAAGGCTCAGGCGCAGAGGTAGTTCGAATCCTCTCCCTAGGCCTTTCACATCTACCATCTTTTGGAATGTGTCTGGTGTTTACCAATCCTGTGAAGTCGATTTCACTATTTTAATGTGGGATAGTTGATCTCTGACGGAATCTCCACAGATACCGAGAACAATAACAACAACCAATCAAGAGCAGGACTCTGAATATACCCCTCTCCTCCTGTCACCCAATCAAATTTGCTCAAGCTCTGCAAAATCCACCCACCCAAACTCGTTGACCGCCGAAGACAGAGTGTCGGTCTCGAATTTCGTGCTTCACGTCGTGGATGTGGCTCGGCATGAAGGCGGCGGAGATGGCCAGGAGCAGTCGCATGATGCTGCTCTTGTTGCCATTGACAATGTCTACAACAGAAACAAACGCAACACATCAGAAAATCCCAAAGTAAGCTGGAATTACGCCGAGCACTTGTCTGTTAGCTGGAAAGCGGGTGAGTTGAAGCATAACGCGAAGTTCAGTTCAAAGAAATAAACAGAAAAAAATACAGCCTCATAATTATCTGCGGTTTCAAGGGTTGGTAGTCCAACTATTTCTAGGAAACGTCCACTTCCTTTCCTTGGTTTAGTTATTTTTATTCGGACAAAGCAAGGAAGCTAAGAATTGTGCGATTCAAATTCAAAAATAGCAGTGCTGCATTGTGAGCGATAACTACAAGACATAATAAAATACAGGCAGAACTCGAAAAGCAAATAAATTAAACCTAAAAAGAAGTAGTTGGACTTTTCTAAGTCATCAAGCTTTTCATTTTCACGTCATGGAGGTATAAGTGGTCTTGAAAGGTAACTCTTCAAGTGTTGGCGAAAACGCTGAAACCAGCTAAGGTGCGTGTGGAGTCGACGTGAAAGTGACGACTGTACAATCCTGAGATACAATTGTTGGAGATCCACGATTCCCAAAGACTGGTTTCTGATGCTATTTACATTTATTCACTAATATTTGTTTTGCTATGCTTTTTATCAAGTCAAGGTCAACCCTGACTTGAATTAGTTTCGTTTTCACTTTTGATTTCACTATTTCTCTGCCCGTGGCTGACATGATCAAAGCTCTCTACAGAAGCTCTGGTCTTGTTCTTGTATTAGCCTGGGAAGGTCGGTTCTAGCTTCAGCACGGGATCTGGTACTGCTATTTGAGTGGTTTCCTCTTTGTTACGGGCAAACGTAGCAACAATGACGAGCATATACTACTTCTGTTGCCTAATTTCACAACCAATCCGGTAGAAGTACAAGTGAAACTAGTGGCCGACTCATCATCAACAAGATGAAAGTTTCACATGAAACAGAGAACTGGTGGTAGTAGGCTTCTTAAAATCCGCAAACCATCACAGATGGCAAAGCATTTCAAAGACAAGGTCACTGTTGAGGTCGCAACAAGTTTTCTGGTGTGCAGTAACCGAACAGGCAAAATGGATGGTTCTAGTGTTCCTTGGGTGGGACAGGCTTCCTCTGTTTGGGTTTACTCAAGACTGCCTTGATAGCGCACCGCAGATGTAGATAATGGAATCAGTTCACACAGCCAGCCACTAGTTGCCCATCATCTATGGACAGTCGTGGTTCTACGCGACAATTAAGGACCCAACAACAAGGCAAGAAAGCTGAGAATTGAAAATTCCAAATTCAAAAATCGCCGTGCAGCATTGTGATTCAGGCTCAGGTAATAATCTGCTTATAAACGATATCTATAAGACACGATAAAATACAGGTAAAAATTGAAAAGCAGAAAAAAAATTAAAGCTAAAAGGAAATCATTGGACGTCATAGATGCATATGTGGCCCTGAAAGGTAACTCTTCTAGTGTCGGTTTTCATCGGCCTTGATAGCTCACCGCAAATGTTGATAATGCAATCGCCACTTAGCAAGTTGCCAAGATCTGGTTTCTCGTTTTTCGACGCGACAATTTAGAAGCTAACAACAATAATGCTTTTGCAGTTCAAAATTCCAGTCATAAGTCATCACTTTAGTGTGTCTGTGAGCTGAAATTATAACCTGTAGCAAACTGATTGCTAGGAAAATGTCCGTGCCGCTCTTCCTTGAATCTAGATGCAACAGACTAGATCCAATCCAACGGATCAAAAAAAATTACCTGCAACAACGCGCCAAGTTACGATCGACGTTGACGTTTAACGTGAATGGTTGTTTGGGGGATAAAAAAGCCAGAAAACGACTCACCCTCAGGATTGATCGAGGCGACGGGAACGTTGAGTTCTTTGAGGTGTCTCAAGATTTCCCTAACGTTGGACACCTTGATTGCACTTGAGGTGCATGGGGATGTTAGGAGAACCCTCGAAGCAGCTGAAACAATCGTGGTAAATTCCGGTTATTGAGAAACTGAGATTTTTGATTTTTGTTAAAAAACTTGTCTACTGAAATTATATTGGTACAAATGCCACGCAAATATTCACAAAACAAGCCTTTCACGTCTATCCGGGTTTATACCTTGGAATGTGTCTGGTAAAGCCCTGGTTAATTCCTACCAAAAGCACCAAGAAGGGGAAATCCACTAGGTGGATTTAAGCACTGTGGTTAGTGAGCTTATTACGATGGTCTGTAGTTAGAATTTCACCTACAAAAATGCCTTTTTGGCCGTCAAACTTCCACTATCATCACGAAATGTGCGGCCTTAAAAGCCCCTAGCTCTGATCTTGCAAACAATGGTGTTATTACTAGGTTAATAAAAGTCAGTGAATGCATGGTTTGCTCTACTTTGGCTGGTCCTAGTTGACCAAAACCCACGTGTAGCTCGGTTACAATTAGTTCCACAGCGGCCCTTGGTACAGCCACACGCGAGGGGTACGGTAATCCACATTTGTAGTACAGGACACCCTCTAGGAAGCTAAGCTTATTCCACGCATACAGTAGAACGCGTGTCTCTGACCATTTCCAGAGCGGTCGGCTTGGGCGAACCCGTGTTTGTACCGCGCCCACTCCGCCAAATTTTCGACTGTATTCTGTTTCATGGAAATGGCGGCTACGGCGGCCGTAGATTTCGGTATTCGCGACACGTCGTCTGCATTTTCGTGCGCTATTTCTACTTTATAGTTGAATTGACTTAACGCGTCCAGCCACCTTAAAGTTACAAAGGCACCACAATCTCTGTACCTAAAAGATAGTGTTTGCAGCAGTCTGAGGAAGACTTTTAGGCGCTCAGCCTTCGACACGGCTCTGCTGCCAAATGCTACTGGGTGTTCGAAAGCATCAGGTTGGATCTGCGAAGGTACCGCTCCGATTGCCCTGCTTGACGCCTCGGTGTCCAAAATGATCGGAGCATGGTCCTTCTCGGGGTTGGAAAAGGCAATGACCGGGTCTTGAACACGCAAAATGCCTGCTGACACCAAGTCACTTCGATTTTGTGAGGCACATTAATCTTAGGAAACTACGTGCAGCATCTTGTAAGCCAACCGAGTTCAATGTAAAGCTTTTTGGGCCACCACACTTGCGAAGCTGGATTCCTGCAAGTTAAATGAAGTCCCTATTTATTTTTATGCGATTAAAAATAGGTCATCGTGTACCTCCATTCTCCACTGTAGGGTGCAAGTTTTAATTGTGACCAGCCACGTCAAAAAATTTTCAGACTAAAACTGTAAACAAGTTAGTATACATCATGTCACTCAGTTTTAGTAATATCTTTTAACTACTTGTTGACTGATTGAAAAAAAGTGTGTGTAAATTCAAAGGCTTCCTACGGCTGTTCACCGCAGTGGACATCAACTACTCCAACACCCCACAATCCTCGAATGTCCACAGACGCGTGAAAAACATTCCTGCTAACCACTAACCAACTGGAAAACCTTGTGTTTTAGGGCGCAACCACGCATAATTTAATTGTAGATTAGCTATTAAAATTGTGTGTTAGCCAAGCCACACTGAAGAAGTTTAGAAGCCGTAAATTAGATGGGGCAAATTTTGCACTGAAGGCTGCAATTACGACTCAGCGCAAACACAAAACAACGTAAGTTTTTGACACTTTTTTTATTGACTTTGCGTATTGACATGCTAGGCAAGTGGATTTATGACATTCGCAACCAAAGTGCCATCAAACCGAGCTCTGACACATTGATGACGGATCTCCCCCAAGAATCAGTTAAATATTGAAGTACTCTGTGGTAGATTTGTGCAATCAAGGTCAACGATTCCTGCGTAGGAGGGAATGCATTAACCGATATTAGGAATGACATAAAGGTAATTTCTGACTGCGTAATTGAGTGCAATGCCTTGCTCATTACTCAAACAGGGCTTTGCACTTAGATAAAACTGAGCACTTTCTTCTTTAAATTGCTGGCATCGAAACGTAGTCAATAGTTATTTTTAAAAAAAAGTTTTCATCTGCTGCATGCTCCAAGGCAAGAGGTCCAAAACATGCTTAAGGCAAAAAAGATGCTTTGACGGAAATGAATTTCATGTTTGTGTGAATGGCGCGAACACGCCTATTCAATTAGGAGACATTTTGCTCAACGCTTCGCGTCAACAAGGTTAGGTTAAAAATATTTACGCGCGAATTAGAAGTCTTCAATTATTGTTCCCATCGTGAGGTTGTTAACAACTCAATGAATATTATTTAGTAAAATTAGAGGAATAAATTAGCGGGATTATTGAAAAAAAGCAACTCCGATGAAGGCGTTTCTTGTCCAGTTACAGGAATTCAGCGATCGAGTGTGATATCAAGACATAATTCCGTCGAATGACGAGGAACGCCAGGAACACATCGCCTTTTTAGCACACGACGCCGCTTTCTCGCCCCACGTGTAGGTGCTATTTTTATGCTGAAGAAGAGTGTCCACCAAGGGTGTTTGTAGTGAATATTGCATGCAACGAAAAAAAAGACACTAGTCTAAAACTACACTCTCTAAATTACGTGTTCTTTTCAAGCCCAAGCTGCACAAGCTACAACAATACTGCGCCTTCGGCAATGCCTTCTGGTTGGATGACGGTCTTGGGATCGGTACCTAATTGCTGTTTGTCAATCTTAATGATCACGGTGTCTAACTAAACGATCAGGTTGATATGTTGGTTGACCTAGATCAATAAACGAACCGTAGAGGCAATAATCCCTGCCAGGTCACGAATGCGACCCACATCTGCACTCCTCCACTCGCTTTCGTGCCTGTTTTAACAAGCCAGTGAAGAGAACAAGCTCTGACCGCAGTACGACGAAGGCGTCGGTGAAAGACACAATTTCCACGGAAATGGCAAGCGACTTTTACTGTCTTCAAGACCACGGGAAAGATCATCGAGTGCGTGTCTTGGGATTTGCTCGTGCCTCACATTCAGTCTCCAATTATCTATTTTTCAAATAAATTTTGCAACCATATCATCACGCAGTAAAATTTTATCAGGAATATAATAAAGGTATAAGGTTTCAAGCAAATATGACGTCATTACTTTGATGTTTCCCTGTCTGAGCGTGGTTTAGACAACAATGAAACCAAGGTAACATTTAAATTCCCTGCGCTTTCAGTCAGTTAATATTGCTGGATTATGTGCCGTGTTAAGCCACACGTGACCTAGCGAAATTAGGTTACGAGATCTTAAAATTGTGGTTTTATGACAGCAAAAAAGGATCCGTAATGACTACATCGAACTTAAGCAAAATAAACTTCCTACCTGTTATTCGCACACATCCATGAGAATTAGCAACCTGATGCACTTCAGTTATTAATCTTAATTTGGTTAGCATTTTAACAAAATTGCCATTTAAATTCCTTCTGGATTTTTGACAGAGGTAAACACGTCATTTTAAGTGATTAACTAAGCAGAGGTGGGCATGTAGGTGAAGAGATAAGTGCCTTTATAGGTAGGAATTGTAGCAGAATCGAAGCTAGCCAACACGTGAGTGACAGATGTGTTTTGCAATGACAATGTGAATATCTGGGGATTGATGGACGGCAGTAAGTGTGCAACCCTGGGGTTACTTTCGATGTTGATTTTTGGCAGCGGCGCCTTGATGTTGCAGGCCTCCTGGTAGTCAGGTAATCGAGTAACCAGCGTTTGACAAATCCAGGTTGTGCTCTGTGCAGGCAAATACTTTGAATGCCCTTTAAATTGATCTAGAAAATGACTTGCTGAAATACCGTCTAAATTTTTTCAAACTGAAAATTAAAGTCGGGATATTTTAATGTTCCGAAATTGAAATCGCGTGTACTTTCGCGTTGCTGTCGTTGTAACAAAATTTGTCGACAGTCCTTATACTCTGGCGGGAGGAGGGATGTAGTAGGGACACTCAAATATTTAGCCCGACAATGCAGGAAATTAAGATGGAGACTAATTGGTGAATTTAAGGCGTTGCAGATGGCTTTGTGTTACTTCAAACTGTTGACTAATGACTTTACAGAGTTGGCGGGCTTATTGCAAGGATCTTTGTGCCGTTTTCAAAAAAACAACAACTGGAGCTTAAACTAGTGATTATATCAGAGGCTGTAACAGAACACTTTCTTTATCACTTGTTGGTGTTTTTAGAAATGTAAAACCTGCAGAATTGCTTCCGATAAATGTGTCCTAACAGATTTGCCTTAGTAATACATCCCCTTATTAAATCAAGATTGCCTTGAGGGTGTTCGATACATTTATCAGTTGTACGTGGAAAGTGGGATGACGAATTTTAAACTAAAATAAACACGGAAGATGAGGAGAATTTCGCCAAGTCCCTCTCGGCCCACTGGCACAGCTGTCACATGGCAGTGTGACTCACGGGCGCAGCTCAAGCCCCCTTGCTCTGACAGGCCTGGCCCGCGTTTCCGTAAAATGCAGGAGGGCATGAATGCCGTAACCAAAATCAGTGCCCAGAGGACGAACTGAGTTGCCGGTGTCGAGTCTACTCACAAATCCGCCCGTTTAAGCAAAGTGCTCATTGGTTCCTGCTACCTTGACCAAAGCGTTCTAATGTAAAGAGCATGCTGAATATTGATAGGTAGGAGAAGACGTGCCATTATATTCTAACCATAATACGTCGTTCAACATGAATTCCTTGATGTGTTTAATGAAGTCCCAAATGTGTAATATTGGACTGGGTTTCTATTTGGGATGCCTTGGAAGCGTTTTTGAACGACACACACAGCAAAGTGAGCTAGGGTAAAATGTCAAATTTATCTCAAACATCAAGGCAGTGTTATAAAAACGCAGGAACAAACCATTTAGAAAACTGATCTTTTTACTTTTCTGTGCCGTTGTGACACAAAATGATGGAATTTTAAAATTGGGTATTTGCAAAAAGCCACCAATAGGGAACTCTTGAAGTGGTCGAAAATATATTCAAATTTATTTTATTGATTTTTCTATTCTAGCTCACTAGTATACTTAAAATTGAAATATTTTGGTAGTCTAATGTGGTTTTGAAATGATTGGACGCAAGGTTTCATAAAACCGAATGACAAGTCTCCAGGAGTTACATTGCATCTCACCATGGTAGACTTTACGGCACTGCATTTCGTGCAAATTCTAACAAGGAAAAATGCTCCTAAAGCACGGGGGAAACCAATTTGTAGTGTTCTTGGTGGCGGTGCTGTTTTATGAAATTGTGATAATTGTTTTATACATTTTAAAAGTGGTGGCTCCAGTCTTAGTGACCAGCCGCGCCTCGGACAACCTCGAAAATTTGAAGATGCGCAATTGCCGGCTCCTACACTGGATGTAGACTCAATGCAAACACAGCAAGAGCTTGCAGCTCAGTCAGGAGTCACAGAAACAGCTATTTCCAAGAGTTTGGCCCAAATTGGAAAAATTCAACAACTTGGAAGTTGGGTCCCACGTGTGTTGACCGAACTGTACTGCTTGCCCTGCGGCAACTACAAGGACTTCATGGGGAAAATTGTGACGGATGATGAAAAGCTATTTTGAACTCCAAAGGGTAAAAAGTGTTGTGGGTAGGTCCCGGACAAAGCAGTACATCGGCGCCGAAACAGAACACCCACTTAAAGACGGTTCGCCTGTGCATCTGGTGGAACATGAAGGGTGTACGCTATTTCGAACACCTCGAAACTGGTCGTCAAACGGTGACCGCGCAACGCTGCAGCCCACATTTGGACAAACTGAGTGAAGAACTTGATCAGAAAAGGCCTTTTACTGGGCATGGAAGAATACTGCTGCTGCATGACAACGCCTGATCACCCGACATTTCTCGCGCCACTCAGAAGACCCGCATGAACTTGGGATTGTAAGTTCTCCCACACGCGACATATTCACCAGACCCACCTCCTCTCCAAATAGAATTTGTTCCGGTCAACGCAGCAGCACGCATTAGGTGATTGACAGTTCAAAACGCAGGACGGCGTGCAGAAATTCGTTGCTGAATTGACCGCGACGGCATTCATGCGTTATCTGATAGATGACGCGAGGTAATAGAAAAAACGATGGACGACATTTATGAAATTAACTTCGCTGTTCTCTATTTTCTTTTATTGAGTAAATTTGCTGAAGAATCTGTAAAAATTGAGTCATACACCTAACAAATTGCAGCGATCCAAATGTGAGCGTTGATAGAGGTCTCGCGAGGGCAATGGACCACACAAGTAAAACATGTCTCAGACCGGGAGCAGACACACGCTGTGGCAGTGTGTACAGCTCGAATTACTTTCGCAGGAGGCGTTGATTAGGCCCGTGAGAAAGAAGCAACCTCGCCTGCCAAGGCTACTTCGAAGTTTAATCCGGTCTTGTGCTGCGCGATGCGTGGAATTGCACCCGCGCACCAAATGCGGAGACAATTGGCCGGTAATTGTGACAGGCGACTGCATGTACAGCCAGAGTCCTTGTGAGCAGACGCACCACAAAAATCTTTGTGCAGTTAAGTGTCGCCTGAACTCGTAGACAACTCGCCAAACAACGTAGTAAAGCAAAGCATGTAGCTGTATTTTTGGTCGAGCCCAGTTTTAAAATGAAATGTCGGCCGACATCCTCAAATTTGATCGAAATTTTGGCCTTACAGTTCGTTGAGATGAAGACTTCAACTAAGGCATTAATGTAGTGTTTTTGGGTAGCAAGTGCTTTTCACTTAGCCTGGCTTGAAAAACCGGCTCGGTGAATCAATTTTAATGCCTTGGAGATTCATTCATTTCATTAGTGAAAGCGATTATGCTTCAAAAAAAGTGGTGACATGGCCAGATTCAAATGTTTCAACTTGCTGCGAGGTAAAAATTTAGTGACTTGAAATCAAGTAGCTGCAAAAAAACAATAGAGACGAGACGCTTGCATCGAGAATGCTATCACTGCTAACTTAAATTATAGATCAGCATAAAATAGCTATTCTGTGTGTGCTGGACGCCTTCACCTGCTAGTGAAAATCAGAGGTCTAACGACTTCAGTTGACGAGGCAAAAAAGCTTAAAGTTAAATCTAATTTACCATTAAAGGGCCGTTAGCCTTTCCGATACTACTGACGATGATAGTTAGTTGTCGATAAGACGGCAGACCCTAGGGCTGGATCAAAAGCGAGACTTAAACTACAATCGATGCTGGCTGGCTCGTCTCATCGATCTGTCACAGAGACAAGCAAGAAAACAGGCTGATGACCAATAAGATCTGCTTTGATCTGGTATCACTCAAACACAATTTGATAGTTGTGCTAATCCTTAAAAACTCTACTCAGTTACAATCATACAAACACGTGATTTCTGAAATCTGATCCACAAAAAACGTTCAAGAGGTGAGAATACGTTGGCCCGAAGCTTCGGTTTGGTAGTGCAGCCTGGCGGTAAACGAGTACATACTGAGTAATGTTTGAGGCTTTTCACAAAAATTCCATAACAGCATTTTATTCCGATAGTTCTACTGGGATGAGTCGATTCTTAATGTTTCCTAGGCTGACTCCTCTGCTAAAAAATTATAAATACATAATCGGAAAGTGTGTTAAGATGCAATTATTGAACCAAATTGAGCTGGTTTAGGCGATATTGCAAAAGCGATCACCAATTTATTTACGCTTGAGTCTATTGGTCATTTGCGGTTAGCATGAGTTTCAAACTTACAGGCAGCATCGATGAGTTCGGCCAGTGCAGTGCCGTTTCTCATTGCCTCGTCATCCAGCGAGTTCAGCTTCATGCCAGGGCAGACGGCGGAGATCTTTGAGTTGATCCATGACAGATAGGCATGCTCACGGGCCTAAAGGATAACTTTGTTGCCAATTCCCAAACAGTGTTTCGTTATAGTTCTGTCCACGAAAATGCTATGCTGACCATCACAACAACTATTGTCTTATCAAAATGTCTTACTCTTTTTAGCGAAAAAAACTTACTCTCGCATAATTTAGAAACTTTGGTGAGATTGTTAACAAAAAAATTCATAACTAAAAGCAGTCTGGCAAATAAATTCTATTTAATTAAAGTCGATTCATAAACTACACACACATGTCTGTTGAATGCTACGGATTTCGGCCTAGATATGTCAAAAGTACAGTGGAATAGTCCATTTAGTAATGCAGCAAAATCCACATTAAGATAGCTGCGGCATTTTGAAAGGCCATCGACGTGGAAAAAAGAGGAGTTCTGCATTTGCCATTTCAGACACCAAATTCGGATGCAACATTGTGATGGAAGGCGCGGAGGTTCAGACGACAGCGCCACGCCACAAACGGCCCACACAATAACCACCTGCAATAACTTCGCATCACTTTGACATTACCATCTGATGTAATTTGCTGTTGTCTGAAACTATCTACGTTCACCATCGAGCCTATCTAGTTAAATTTCTCATCACCACATATTCACTCTCAAATAATGTCGAGTTTTATGGGCACCCTGTGGTCCAATTTAATAATTTCACACAAGCTACGCGAGTCCTCACACCATCTTCAATGTGAACATAGCCATACTTGGCTCCAGTCAACGCCCCGCATTAGAATACTTTTCAATGTTAAATCAGTGATTTTTACGTTGAGTGCAGTGATCCTGGTTGGTTAAAGTCGTGATGATTTGAAAGTGCAAACACTTCCAAGGCTTAGTCTTGAAGAAATGGCAGTATTTATACCAAAAAATGTAATGGATTCCAAAGAAGTAAACAAACACTGACTAACAATGGTTTTCCCACAATGCGTGAAGTGTGTGCGACATTAATGAGGGAAGAAAGTGCTGTGTGCATTTTGTTTTAATAAGAAAAAGAGCGCGTTTTACTCTTTTGAACTAAGCTTGCGTTACATTCGACCTCTTCAAGTATTTATTTGTGCTAACGACTAAAAGGCATGACATCAGAATGTTGGATAAGTTAAAGGCACACGGGTTCCCTTTTGCACCTACGGTAGACGCTACGGCCATAGATTGCGTACAGCAAGCAAAAAGTCACATTTTCAGTGCTGTTGTTGGTAACTATCGAGAACCGTCATTTTGACAGTCCTTTCGTGCGCACTGCAGCGTATTTCCATCATCGCATGCACGGTTGCCGCAGTGATAAGCCACGTAAACAGAAGAGAAAGTTGATCAAAACCATGGCTTTTTGGTGGCCAATTTTTTTTGCGAACGGGTCAGTTTCCGCAGGTGAAGATTACCACCTTGCACACTCTGGGATCTTTTACCAAGATAAGGAAAGTCATACGTACGTTTCTACACGACGTTATCGAATTTCCTGTTGATTTGGACTTATTGTAAATTATAATTTATCTGTGACGCATCAACCTGCCTAGAATGTATTCGGAGAAACTTTGTCGCTGAAAAATGCGTGGCTCTTTAACCCTGACCCCTGTTAATTATCTATAGTATTGAATCTTGTGTCTGTTTTTCTCAAAATATATAATTTTTTTACTAAAATAAGTGTTTTTTTTGCTTAAATTGGTCTTCTGTGAACCTGAACCACTGATAACATCTGCAAAAATCATTGTGCATAGCTACAATTAGCCTCATAAACATTTTTACTAACACAACGCTATGGTCGTTTGAAAATCAAGCTCGAACCTCAATCTATGTAGTGCGCTAATCACTTCACGGCTCATTTTGGTAGGATTTCTGCATTGTTTTGTAAATAAAAAGGGCTTTTCCTCTCAAGATGGACCATTTTCTTCAATATTTTACATGGATTTTTAGACCAGGTGTTTCATTATTTCGCAGCTTAACCTCCTGCTTTTGTCGATCGGTTATCCCCTGAAAATTGCATTCTTGGGTCTTTAAAAATGTCGGTTACTTTTCAAAGTAGTTACCGATGGTTTTGTTGGACGCCTTGTTATTTAAAGTGGCGCGACACAATCCAGGAATCACGGCAACAGGCTATCCACAATGAACAGACAACAATGTCAATATTTTCACTCAATAACTGTAGAAATCAATATTTCGGATTTCAAATGACAAGTGAGATTAGCCAATTAAATTGAAGGATTTTCAAGCCTGATTTAAACACCAAATGTATGAAACACTTTAACAGCAAGATTTTCAAAGATAAGTCTAAATAACTCGATTATTTCAGGTTCTTTTTTGTGTTTAGGTATCACAGTTGATGCCAGACTTGTTAAGAACCCTAATTAGTCTAACACCACCCGTTATTTTATTTCTAAAATATTTGTTCCTACGTTGTTGTTTACCATACACGAACGCAACACTAAACACGCGATGTCAGACAACACATGATTCCCTGTTTACATCACACTTTACAAGAAAATTGTGTCACAAAAATGAATGCTTGAAAAATAAAAAAGCACAATTTAGAACGAAAGGTAAGAGCTGTATTAAAGCTAATCTAAGGGAAATAACGCTGAACATGGTAAACATGCCTTGAAGTGTCACATTTGTATACAAATTTGCAAACTCACACTTTCAGCAGTGCTGTTGATTTGAGCCATGCCAAATCTAAAATGAAATAGTGGAGTTGTTTACTTTCAGGAATTGTTTAAAAACGCTTTTTTTGGTTTAGTATCCTCTTCAAAATAACCTCACATTCAAAGGTAGTTCACGATTTAGATGAACTGTCAAATTCAATCCGCCAGCAACCCTTCGATTACGTTACATGGTAAATAACGAAAGCTTTTTTTGTAAGTAAAAGTGAAGTACCTATTTAGAGCGAAGCAAGTTGTTTGCGTGGGGCCCAGACGCCATCTGCGTGCGTGGCAATTTACCAGAATACAAAACAACAAGGTCCATCTGCCCCCAAGCAACTACGCAAATTCGAAGGAGGCATTCTGAAATTAGTCGTTGTAAATATTTTGAAGACTCAATATAATAAGTATTTGCAGTAAATAACACGAACAATAATTTGGGCAAGTGAACCGATTCCCGAGTTTGATTATGTTGATGTTACCTAAGTGATTTCACCATAAAATTGACTGAAGTAGATTTGGTTTTTATTTCCAGTGAAAAATTGAGCGGCACGTGCAGACGGATTTGCTCCTTCAGTGTCATTGTCCGGTTAACAAACGTGTTTTCAGGGATAATTTACTTGGGACAACGCTTTTTCATCTGTCTACTTCCGTGAAGCGTGATAAAATAGCACTTTTGGCTTTGGTATAACTTCCTTTCATTAATAATTAAGAAACTTGGAAACAGGCAGCCACGTAGATCGATGGACATAAGAGAACCACGGATGTTTGGCCACCCCATGGTTGTGTTTCACCAGCGATGGGAACGAACGTGACAGCAGAGGCAAGCCTTCACGTTGACAACGTGTTTTGCCGGAAGATTTGGGAAAACAAAAATGCCTTCATGCTTCACAGTGCCATGGGATTACCCGGACGCAGTGTTTTCTCGTTGTGCCAAAAAGCACTCGATGAAAACCTGTCAGCATCTTTTATTCACGCAGTCATGTGTTGATTTACAAATGCAGCACCCCAATTTTAAGTTCTCATTCAGAACGCAAACTATACCCAGGCTAGATGCGAGGTTTATTCAAGGCAAATCAGCTTGACTCCAACATGGAAGACTTCTGGATGCAGGCTGATGCCATTCTAACCGATCTGGTTTGCGTTTTGCACCACAATGGCAACGAGAATGTGGTGGAGGTTGTTTTGTCTTGTTAATTGTAGCCCTCTTAAACATCGTACACATAATAACTACAGAAAACTGATATTCCCCAGCACCACTTACTACAAAGAAAGAAAAGAATCGTTGTGGATTGTTGACTAGAAGCCAATTTGCCGAGCGCTTTGCTAATGCACAATTCATGCTACGTGGTTAAGTCTTCATTTCGGCCAGGCTCGATTAATAAATTTAGGGTTTCGTATTCCTGAATTTTCTGAACAGATTTTTAATTTGACGACGTGAGCTAAGCGTTTGACTTACTCTGGACTCAATTATAAAAAAGAATTTTGATGCATAGCAACTCTTTGAAGTAAAAACAAACGCTTGCAACTTCTAAAGATTCAGTCTTTTCGTGTATTTACTAGATTTCCATCAAAAAAATTAAGGAAACGATAAGATCATGCATCTGGGAGTGCACATGACCGCTGAATTCAATTGCCAAAGCTCGAAGTACCAAGGAGGACCAAGGTTTTCGACTGTGGTTACGTGCCGCCACCCAAACACAAAATATGCCTTTTCCACTAACTTGTATTTAGACTTGTGTAGATACTTGAAATGCCTTTCTTCTTTTGTCCATCTCGGCATGCAAAAAACGGCTTGGCTAGTCTGACTTGATCAGTTTTTCCTGTGGCAAGATGTGGCCCACACACACACACACACTTGAGTCACTTAAACAGGAAAAACAAGTAAAAATAGACACAAAAATAAGCACATGGGCCAGGAAACACAGGATCCATAGCAAATGCCTTTTTTGAGTTAACGGCACACTGGAGAATGCTTGACAAACAGCCCAAACGAAAAGCAGCCCAAACACAGCATTGAGAAGAGGTGATTTTAAACGAGGTGGCTTTGAGGTGGAAGTGATGTTTAGTGCTACTGCATGAACACGCCGCAACCTCAAACAGAGGACATCTGCAAATGCCCACCCTTCCGGTTCACGATGCATTAAAATGTGAAATCTGGTGACTCCCAGCTACCAGCACGTCAAATCACCTCCTCACCATAAAATCAGGAATGGCAATGTGGTCGTGGTGGCGCAGTCCTTGTGCGGAATATAAAAAGGCCATTTTTTATTAAGATAAACGGAAAGAAATTGTTCTAGGTCTAGCAGGTATCATTCAGAGTCCACGAATTCCTTGCTTTTGTATTTAACAAGGAAATGCTAACCCCAATTACATTAAACATATTTGAATGAATTTGTACATTTCCGAAGTACTTTCAGTGCAACGTAAACAGATTATATAACTTGTACAGTCCTCGACATGAAGCAATTGAGGAATCATACTTTTGTTAAGCATCTACAAAATCTATCCTAAGTGAAGCTGCTAGATTTGTCGCCTTTCTCGTTTTCTCCACTTAGGAAATGTAGAATCCGTTAGTTTGTCAAACAGTGTTCACGCTTAGAAATAAGACTATTTTCAGTTATCGTGTTACCTAGAAACCACTTTTTTACTAAAAAATCGATGCCCACTTAACGAAAATTTCAGCAAAATCAGCCACTTTATAAGGTTAGGGGAATGTTGAGGAGGGCGAAGTAGTTAAGCGTCTAATAGTACGAGGTGGTGGTGGTGGCGGTTGGAAAGAGCCCTTCATTAGCACTGAAGTATGTGATCCAGTTTTGCTGCATTGTAAAAACAATTCCCATGCGCTGGCCAGGCCTGAGGCGTTTTTCCTCCCAGCTACACGCTCCGGTTGTGAGCACTGCGTGGTGGTTTTAGGAAGGAGGAACAAAAACTCCGCAGTGTAAGGCACCCTTCAACTCCCACCAGATGCATAACCTGCCCCTTTTTTGCGGTACAAATCAACTTTTGCGATGAATCATTTCAATTTCGCTAGACACCTTGTCACGCCAAGCCTCTTACGCTGCTTTGTGACGCTGAAAAACACTATCAGAATTGAGGAGATTTTGTAGCTGATACTGAACTATCAAGCTAGCAAAGGTTTCTGAATTGTCTGAAAATTTAACCTTCCAATGGTATCCAGGACTTTGATGGCTCGTAATTGAGCGTGAGATGTGCCTTTTACTCCGACACATCCCTTTAAAGATCGTCAGGGGCAACTATTTCAGACGCTGTTTGTTGTGTTTTGACGTTCGATCTTATTTATAAAATTGCACCGAAAGTGCTGGCATCATCAATGCATCGGAAGCCAGGGATCAAACGAACTTCTTTCATCATCTTGGACCAACATTAGTAGTTCTGTCAAAAATTATTTGTTTTGGGTACCCCCATGACCAAAATTTGAATTACATATGAAAAAAAGCAAGATAGTCAATAAGCAAGGCTAAGTGTTAAACAACTTGTAAAAAACTTTTGTGG